CACGCGCCGCGCGACCTTTTCCCCTCCAACTCCCTGTTCTTCTGAGACCATCCCGAAGCTCCAAGCGTCTCCCCAGCGTGCCGCGATCCGGTGCCCATGCCCCGAGCCCTCCCCACCCCCTCTCCGAGACCTCAGTAACGACTTCCTGCCTCCGGTAGTCCCAGGCCACCCGCCCCTTCCGCGCCTCCACCTCCGTATCCTCGGGGTGGCCGCGACTCCGCAGGCGTCGGGGGTCTCACCGGCTGGGAGCAGACTGGGGCCGGGTGGTCCAGGAGCCGCAGGGAGGCGTGGCCCGGGGCCAGCGCGGCCAGGAGCAGGAGCAGCGGCCCTAGTGGGGGCCCCGGAACGACGAGTGGTCCGCGGCGCAGAGCCCTCATGGCCCCGGCGCTGTCGCGGAGGGCTCGCGGCCCGGGCTGGGGGCACGGCGAGTGAACGCCCCAAGGCTTTCCCTTTCCTGGCAAAGCCGGGGTACTCGCTACTCAGCCGGCTTCCGGCTTCCAGCCCTGGCACAGGGGCGGGCCGGGCCGAGGGGCGGGGTGGGCTGGGGACTGCCCTCCTCCGGGCCCGCCTCCGCCCGGGCGTCCCAGGTACGCGCGCCTCCCTACGCGCCTCGGCCGGCTCCGGCGCAGCGAGTCCCCTCCGGCCGCACCCGGGGCGACCTGTCCGCCCGCCCTCGCGCCGCCTTTCTGCCCCTTGGCTCGCGCCACTCTTGAGACTTTTCTTTCCCTTCTTGGTCATTTGACATCGGGCCCACACCTCGGGACTCAGGAGGCCCGTTTTCTTTGTCCCTGTCCTTTCCATCCTCCCCGCCCCTTCCCTCGGCTTGCTAGCTCGGCTCCTGTGGCTTTCGTTTCTTCTTCTCCGGGGTCCGGGAGAGGAGGAAAGAGCCTGGCCTTAATCCCACTCGGTGTCCCCACCGCGCCCAAGAGCGCCGCGTCCCAAGACCTCACTGCACGTCCGCCGCTGACCGCCTCTCCTAAGTCTCCAGTCCAGACAACTCACCCTCTGGGACGTGGGCAGACTTCATCATCTCCTCTCCATCCCAAGTCCGGCACTCGTCTGCCCCCGCCCACGTTCCTGACACTCTCCTGGCCAGCACCCGGGTTTCCAACCTCGTCCTCCCCTGTTTCATTCTCGCGGTTCCTGCCACACTTGCCTTTCAACCACTGCACGTTTTGTCTGCCTCCTCCCTTCCTGCATCCTCCACCATCCGCATTTCTGCCCTATCATGTTTGCCTCTGCCTGGCCTTTGACACTCACATAGCTTTTCCCAGTATTTCAACCTGCCTGGATAGGCGCTCCCTGGCCTGGGGCAGTGGGTTTTCTCACTGTCCACAACACTCACTGGCCTTTGCCTGCTGCTGCTGACCCTAGGCCACTAGCTGTGAGCCACACTGCCTGGCAGGACCCAGCCACATTAGACCTCAAGTTCACTCGGTGGTCTTCAAATATCTTTGCTTGTGTGCTGGTAAAGTAATTATGGGAAACTTGGCTTCCTTTCATACATTTTTGAGATGGCATCTAAAATTTTCATCCTAAGTTTAAATGAATGTGGTGGACATAAGCATTCTGTAAAAATGGACATCTGTGGTAGGCAGCTTCTGAGGTGGCACCTGGCAGCCTGGCCCCATGGCCTAGTACTCACGAACTTCTCTGTCCTTCCCTGTGTGGGGTGGGCTTAGAGACTTGGTTCCAACAATGGAAGTATGAATAGAAGAAGGCAAAAACAACAGGGTGTCAGTTAAAACCAAGACTCCTGTCCTGTTCAATCTCTCTAGCTCCCAGCTTGGGGGAAGCCAGGCTGTGAGCTGCTCTGGGGGTGGGAGGGCCTCTGCCTTTAGCTGGTGAGAAATTGAGATCCTTGGTTCATCATTACAATTATTTCCATACAATAGATCAGAGGTCTGTCCTGGAAGGTGACCTTGCTGTTCTGTTGCAATTTAGGATCTCTGACTATAACTAGAATCTGTAAAACAGCTCAGGCCCAAATTTTGGATTGAGTAGTTCCAGCCAAATTGAGACAGTAATCCTGATCTCTTTAGTGTGGTAAATGTAGCAAAATGCTGTAGGGTCTGGAAACCAGCACACAGATAAGAAAAACACATACCAAATCCATGACATTACTACTTTGTGCGAGGTCTTGAAATTATGGTAATCTGTACATATTATTTGTTTTTTAAGGCATTTGAAATATTTAGGAGAATGTATGGCATATTACATTTAAGATATTAATTCAAAACACTAAATATCAATTTGATACTTGTCTTATGACCTATTTTGAAACATGAAAAGTTGAATGATGATAGATAATTTAAAACAGATAATTACAGATAATTTAAAACATGTAATTGAAAATTTTCAAATAATTTTGTTTATGGAATTCTTTTCCTCTCTTTCTTCTCCTTTC